GACGTAGCTTCGCATTCTCTTCGTCAGTCAATCCCTCTTGTATGGCCATCCTCAGTGATGGAATTTGACTTTCTAAAGGCAGGACCGCTTCCACGCCATACACAAGCGAATACGGCGTAGCTTGAGTGGGCGTCCGGTATGTCGTCCGATAAGCCCATAATGCTTCGTTTATCCTTTCATGCCAGTCTTTCTTGGTTCTCCCAACAACTTTTTTCAACAGGTTGCAAAGAGTTTTGTTGAATGCTTCTGCAAGGCCATTGGCCGGGGCATTGTACATTGAAGAGTTGCGTTGCTTAAAACCGAAGTCTTCACACAGTTTGTCCATTAACCGATTCGAGAATGGTTTTCCATTGTCTGTGATGATGTAACGTGGCACACCATACCGATGAATGATGTTCACTTTGATAAAACTCACTACGTTTTCTTTCTTCACTTCCTTTAGAGGTACAGCTTCTGCCCATTTTGAAAAGTAGTCTGTGGCTGCAAGGATGTAAGAATGACCGTCGGAAGATTTGGGTGCTATCGGTCCCACCACATCAAGACCCCATGCATCAAATGGCCACGAAGTAACTGTGGGATGTAGCGGCTCCGGTGGTTGGTGTATAAAGTTCGCATGGAATTGACATGCCTGACACTTCTTCACATAATCCATGCAATCCTTGACCATAGTCGGCCAATAGTAGCCCATCCTCTTTATTTGGAAATGTAGCTTTGGCCCTGATTGATGAGCTCCGCAAATACCTGAGTGAGCTTCCTCCATTGCTTTGGATGCATCTTCTTCTCCCAAGCATCTTAGAAACACGCCTTCGAACGAACGACGGTAGAGAATTTCTTTGTAATAAATGAATCGAGGTGCCCGACGTCGTACCTCTGATCGATGTCTCTTGTCATCTGGCAATTTCCCATGCTCAAGATAATCAATTAAAGGTTGTCTCCAGTCGTCAATGTCAATGGACAATACTGAGATAACGTTGACTCCTTCTTGCGATGCTCCAAGTGCTAATGG